AACTTTCGATATTATACATTTCTAGTCATCATCAAACGATAGTGCTATTCTATACTGTGAACTTCACTAGGGATATTACAATATTTTGCGGCTCTTAATGCCACTGACCGCATCTATTGTTTGCTTTTTTTATTTTTATTTTTATTATTATTTTTTATTGGTATATAATTAAATCTGTACCTCTAGCATTTGACAATGATGAGTCTACATATTAATCATTATTTAAAGACACTGATATTTTATATTGACAGCTTTGTTAGCAGAAACACACCTTATTTTAAAGAACTCAATGTATTTTTTATTATTTTATTTTTTAAAAGAGTATAATTATAATTTTTCCTACTGTACATAGTCTTAAGTGTTTTATCATAGTTTTAAGTGTTTTGTATATAGATTTTTTTTTTTTTATATATAGCTTGTTTAACTAATATTTTCTTTACTTTCTCTTTTTTATTTTTGTTTTATTTTGGCCAGATGTAGTATTTTAATTATGTTCTATTTTGTTATTCCAAAGGGACTTTTTCCCAGAATAAAGTTATTTTCTATTTCTATTTTTTTCTATTATATGAGCCTTTCAGTTGATGGAATGAGTAACTCCAACTTATGATTATTAATTTTAGTGATATTTTTAGTGGAAAAAATGATACCTTTGTTCACAGTTCTATATTTCAACACTGTGATCACCAACTCTGGAATCAACCTACATACTGTCTATACAGTTATTATAAATTTTCCAATTAGAAATATCACTAAAATGATTTTACTCAAAAATGTTGAAATTGGAGTTAGTGATTCTGTAAACTGATAGGCTCTTATAATACTCTTACTAGATGTGTAAATATACCGGAATTAGTCCATATATCGGGAGGGGCTCTAGTTGTTGATGTAGTTACCGTTAAACTGCATTATTGTTGCCATTTTCTTTTTTGACTGCTGGAAAAGATTTTCAACTCGTAACAGTACTATTGTTCTGTAATTGTTTTAAAGATGAATGCCCTCCCTTTTTACATTGTATTTTCTGCCACTGCAGTTTTCCTTATCTCTCACAAGAACCTTTAGTTAATGTAATCAGGGCTATGGTCAGGAAGGGTGTCCCGATTTTAAAAAGGAAAAGAATCTTTTATAGAAAAGTAATAGCTATTATTATGATATATGTTGTTTTATATTTGGAGTAGGTTATCTACTATTTTGTTATATTTGCAATAGCGTTTACTATGAATTTTTTTTTTTTTTTTATTTCTTTATGACATTTACAACTGTATTACATAAATACATCAAGTAAATTTGGACATAATTGATATAATGACATGAATACACTTGCTGAGTAACTACCCAATGGTAGCACTCTAATGATATGACTACATTAGGAGATCACGGCTTGAAATCTTCTTTTCAGATGCCTCGGGGGGTTATCAGGAATTGAAGAGGAAGCAAAGTTAGAAACGAGAGGGTTGGGATGATTCTGAAGTTTATTATGGAAGGATAGGTATCTGGATTGGGCCAGATCTAAAACATAAGGAACATTAAGATCTTTATGGATAATTTTATTAGTGATAAAGTAAGGAGCATTGAGGATTTCACGAAGGATTTTGGATTGTAAGGATTGGATGCGAGAGGAATTCGATGGTTTAGTGGAACCCCATAGCTCAACTCCGTAAGTCCAAATAGGTCTTATTATAGTCAAGTATATGAGTCTTTTGTAATTAATGGGAAGTTTAGAGCGTTTGTCTAGTAAGTGCTGAAGTAGTCGGAAACGTCGAGCGGTTTCTTGTCGTTTCAGTCTAGTATGAGGATTCCAAGTTAGTCGTTTGTCCAGGTGGAGTCCTAGGTATCGGATTTGCTCAACAGGGATAAGTGGAGTATTGTTAAAGGAAACTGTAGGACAGGAAGTCGTTGGTTTACGACGAAGAGTAAAGGTAATCTGGTGGGATTTATTGGAGTTTATTTTAATTCTCCAGTTTTGACACCATTCTTCTAGATTTATGATGTGTGATTGAAGCATTTGGGATGCAATTGCTGGGTACTATGAATTTAATAAAGCTAAGACATTCCTTAAAATCAGAGGTAGCTGCATTTACACACTCCAGAAGTACAGGATATTCCACAGGAACAGAAATTATAGGAGCATAGGTTATTTATTTATTTATTATTATTATCAATATAATCTGTTTACAAATGTTTATATAGCATTTCCAAGTCAAATGCAACCTTTTCCACCTCAAATTCGACTTTCGCATTTTTGTAAATTTTCATTTTTTTTTTCGAATTAAAGGCAACTTACTATATTATCGAAGGCGTAGCTTTTGAAAAAAAAAAATATATATATATATATTTAAACTTAACTATTTAATTGGGAATAAGGCCACTTAATTATTATTCAATAAACTATTGAATGTTCATTTCTTCTGTTTATTGACGTTTCGATCCCGGTATTTTCTTTTTATTAGTTAACCATGGGATCCTCTTCAAAGCTAGAATTTTAAAAAATAGAGCTTCGATCAGGCCAGGGACACACCGACAGTCTCAGCACCGTCCACTAGCATATATATTAAGAGTAGCTTAATTGTGGTTGTTGGAAATAATCTACATTTTAAGATTTCGGCACCGTGTTTCGGTTTGTTTAAGTTTTTCTCATTTATTCAATATAATAATTTAACTCGCCGAAACTACTAAAAGTTAAGCATAACAAGTAATGTATAGGAATTAAATAAATCAATCAAATATATACATTATTGGTGCTTAAGGGTGGAAGATTTAAGAGTTATGTTGAGTGGTAAATGTAAAATTTTGAATATCGATAACTCAGCTGGATGTTAGTGGAACCTAATCAAATTAGATGGGTTTCGATTACTGTTTCATGAGGAACAAAATAATATAAGTCACATTCTATAACCAGTCCCGCCTTAAAGGTATTGCAATTTTAATATAAATTTGCACGTCTTTTTTGTTATTTTTCATCATAGGTTTTCGCAAAAAGTAATAGATTATTTTAATCTTAGAATTAAATTTTCTATGAGTTTGGATAATACCTAAAAAAATTGTTTTTCTTTTTTGCTTTATTAGGTACTTAAATCCTCTTTGTAAACTCTAATGTCAAAGTTCATATGATAGAAATAAAAAAATTTGGTGCGCGTAACACACAACTTTCACTTACCGAGCTACTTTGAATAGAAATTATTTTCTGGCAATGCTGGGCTGTTATAAAATTTTTTGAAGTGCATTTTAAACGGAGCTAAAGCTTAAAGCTTACAGATAACAACTCATTAAGACCATTATAATTACAAAATGTCTATTTAATATATCGACGTCAGGCAATAAAAATCTAGTCACTCCATCTGCTTTTATAAACCATACAACTTTCTTTGCTTTTATAAACCACAGAATGACTAACTCCAATTTCAACATTTTTGAGTGATGTCATATTAATGATATTTTTAGTTGAAACAGTTATCTATGCAGACAATGAGTAAGTTGATTCCGGAGGTGGTGATTGTAATGTTGAAATATAGAACTGAGAATAAAGGTATAAATTTAGATACTTATTTCTTATGAAAGATGTTCATAGGAAAGATACTTTATTGAATATCTGTAGAAAGAAGGTTTTTTAAGTCTCAACAATGAAAAAAGGATATTTTAAATTTATCCAAATTTTCGCCTCTTCAGGGAAAAAAACTAGAGACCATATCTTTCCTCCTAATTGACCGATTTTAACGATTTTTTTTTGTTTTTATAGGAAATTCCATAAACTTTTAACAAACCATCCCCAAAAAAGTTTATACTTTTTGAATTATTCGGAATTTAATTTTAACATCCCTCGAAACTTTTTTTCCAGCTTCTTTTTTGAAGAGAAAATGAATTTAGCGAAGTTTCATGGAAATCGATACATTCGTTTAGGCGCTACAGTCTATAGCAACGCAGGTTTTTCTGCATTTGTATTTATTTTTTTATCAAATTGCTTCAAAAGTTAAAAAGCATTTTTTTATACCCTGAATAATGCGAAATGATTAACTTTTTAAAATAAACCATATTAAAGGTAATTTAGAGGAAGACATATGTGAACATTGGGCATTTAAGCCCTGTAAAGTGACATCAACGGGGATAAGACATAAATGATATTAAAGACCACTTAATTATACAATGATACACCGAGTTTAATCATAATCGTTAGAGCCGTTTTCGAGAAAATTGTAAAAATGTGTTTCAGCGTTCATATAAAGTGGCACTTCCGGTTAGCCGATTTTAACAGAAAAGTTGCTGTCACATCCGGTCCATATACAAACCTTAAATACTTAATTTCAGTTTCGTACTACTTTTCGTTTATGAGCTAGACTGATACACATAGATCATTTTGCGATTCTTGGTTATTTGGACTCAGGGGACCTCAAAAAATGTATGTCCGTTGAAAACTGAGAAAATTTTCACGATTGCAATACTTACCCTTACTATATATTACATAAAAACGTAAAAGAAAGTAAAAAATTGCATGAAAGAACTAAATGCCGACTTGGTTAAGTTTTGATCACTGTGAGCTGCCTGTGTTCGGATCGTCTAATTTATTATTGACGAACTATAGTTAAGTAATTAATATATTTGTTGGTTTAGTTTTTACAGGAAATAATCGGAGTTAAAAAATACTAGATTAATTTAAAATAAGCCCATTTTAAAAGTAAGCTCTTCAATTATTCATAATTATTTTATTTTTATTCTGTCTATGATGGGCCCATTATCGACCTACAACGTTAACTTGGCATTGATATACAACTAAAAACATCAGATAGTCGACTGATCTGGATGAAACAAAATACATCGTTTTCATGTCTGACCATTTTATAATCAGAATATTTCAACGGTTTTCTCATTTCTGCCCTTTGTTCGCATCAGAATGGTCCTACTTCTAATGTACTTATAATTAGCTTTTTATATTTTTAGTGTTTTTGGGACTTGACCGACCAAATACCGTTGGTTCTTAGGATTAAAAAAAAGATAAATATAACAATTTGTATGTTTTATATAAAAATAGATGTATATTTACAGTAGTAAATACTATATACAAAATATATAACAACATTAACAACAATTGGGGAAGGGGACCTGAGAGGGATGATCAGTCTGTGGTGGGGGGAGGAGCCGCAACTGCTGCTAGTCCCAGCCGTGACTGCCGTGGCCGCCGCCGTAGCTGCCAAGACCGCCGCTGCTGCCGCTGCCCTGGCCCACGCCGTAGCTGTAGCCGCCGAAGTCCCCACCGCCACCGCTGTGCCCACCGCCGTACGAGTCCCCACCGCTGTAGCTGCCGCCTCCGTGACCGCCGACGCTCACGATGGAGCTGCCGCCACTGCTGTGACCGCCTCCGTAACTGCCACCGAGGCTTCCTCCATGACCGCCGCCAAAGCTTGATCCATGACCACCGCCGTAACCGCCACCGAGGCTTCCTCCATGACCGCCGCCGTAACCTCCGCCGATGCTTGATCCATGACCGCCGCCATAACCACCGCCGATGCTTGATCCATGACCGCCGCCATAACTTCCTCCAAAACTACCACCATGATCGCCGCCAAAGCTGCTTCCATGACCACCTCCAAAGCCGCCTCCATGTCCACCTCCAAATCCACCGCCATGTCCATAGCTGTCACCACCTCCATAACTGTAACCTCCATCGTCACCGCCTCCACTGCTGGAGAAGTCTCCATGTTCGTCCCCGTGGTCTTCATAGCCTCCGATGTGCTCATCTCCTCCATGACCACCACCGTAACCGCCTCCGTGGCCTCCCCCAAAACCGCCTCCGAATCCACCTCCGTGTCCGTAACCTCCTCCGAATCCGCCTCCGTGGCCGCCTCCAAAGCCACCTCCGTGACCGCCTCCGAATCCTCCGCCATAGCCGCCTCCATGACCGCCTCCGAAACCTCCACCGAATCCGCCGCCGTGGTGATCGTGGTGAGTTTCTTCATGAGTGTGTTCTTCGATATGATGAACTTCAGGCTTCTCATGGTGAACCTCTTGAATGATTTTGGGAACATGTACCCTTATGTGAACACTGAAAAAATAACATCGAGTTAACTTATTTGCGATTTTTAATATATATGATCTAATATAATTTATAAAAATTATTCTATTTTCTATGAATTTACATACATTTTGGCGTTTGGATTGGGAGCGGGGTAGCTCAGTGGTAGGGCACTGAGCTTCCAATGCAAAGGTCCCAGGTTCGAACCCCCGGCTCATAGCAGAAAATCTGTTTCATTGGCCGTGGGCCGACCCTGGATCGGTAGACCATCCTGGGGCACACCCAGCCTCTGTAATGTGGGTACCCTTAATTAAATAATTAAGGGGAAAAACCTGGCGGTTGAGCGTGATCTCGGTCAAATCACCTCCTTGCACAACAGTTGACCTAGAAACAGTGCTTTCCCTAAATAGTACTGAACCCCAGACCCTTCATGGGTTGTAGTGGTACAGGTTTTTTTTTTTTTTTTTTTTTAGGCGTTTGGATTGCCCACCACTTTAACATTTCTTTGCCAAATCATACAGAAACAAAATATTTGGGACTTACAATACACAGGCGGTTGACATGGAAATGTCATGTGTCCTCAATAAAAAAAGATCGAATCTTCGACTCCTACTAATAAGACGGATACTACACCACAAAACAAACTATCACTTTGTTAAACAATTATTTCAACATGGTACTTTCATCCATATGGGCGTATGCCACTCAGGTGTATGACCAATGTCAAAAAATCACTCTTATAGACTATTCAAACCTTCTAAAGTAAACGGTATACAACTTCCTTCTACATAATTATTGGTCCCTGGATAAAGGTTTGCAAATACCATGTGTAACAGACATCATTCAGAAATATTACAAAAATTTTCATGGCTCACTTGTTGGACACCGTATGGTGGAAGACGAATGAATTCTTGGTCTCACGTTGGCATCATCGTCATTGAAAAATTGGGCTAAGCTAATTATTTTGAATTAGCTCAAACTGTGAAACGATTGTTAATAGAGGGTTCCCAATTTGAAAAAAATAAAATAAAAGTAGCGATCAACTTTAAAGAAATATTAAGGGCGATGAAGAGACATTCGTCATTCAGAAGCCTAGCGAATCCAAAGGTTCAATGCTGATACTACTTTCATCTATCGATCGCCGTTCAGATCAAACCGCGCCAGATCAGCCGTTTCAGACGTTAACCAGTTGACATAGCACAGTTTTAGAAATCATTTTGTTACAAAACCCAACAACTTTACATCTCATTTTATTCGTCGCAATCTTCTCTTCAATTTCGTTTGTTCTAGTTATCGTGGATTCTTTAAGGTACTTAACATTCTGCATATGTTCCAACACATTCCGTTCTATATATATATATATATATATATATATATATATATATATATATATGTATATATATATATATATATATTCTATATTTCTAACCATATATTTTGTCTTGTCCATATTTATTTTGAGTCCCAGTTTACTGGCTATCAATATTGTTATATTTAGTTTTATAGTTATGGTGTCTTTACATAACTGTAACAGTTATTATTCCAAATTAAAACTTTTTTCGGAACTTATCTCCTATTGGTGTATTCTAATGATGAATAAAATGTGGAAATCACCTTGTTTTATACCCAAACGAACTTCTAACTTTTTGAATAAATAACTACCGATACTATTATTTTTTTTGTATCCAGGAGTTTCTTCAATATGAAGTTTTCCTCATCCAAACTCCTTCTTTAATAAGTCTGTCCATATCTACCGGTCCATTACATCCTCCTCCGAGTCTTCTACCAGCCATACTCCAACACTATCCTTCCATCTTACTTGGGGTCTTCCTCTCTTTCTGCCCTCTACCTCCCAATCCATAATTATCTTTGGTATCCTATCGTCACCCATTCTTCGGCCATGCCACTTGAGTCTTCTTTCTTCCATTACCTCTAGGATATTTTGCTTTATATCTAATCCCTTATAGTGGCGTTTCTTACTCTTTCGATCCTTGATATCCTAGCAGCTTTCCTCCAAAAATCTATTTCAACTGAAAGGAATTTTTATCTCCTGGATCATACTGAAGGGCTATGTCTCCGAAGCTTTTTTGTTTTAGTAAAATATTGCTGCTCCAGAGTAACGGGTTAAACATTCCCACTACTTTTTTTGGATTTCTTCCATTACTTTCAATTATGGATCCCAACTAACAAAACTTATTCTAATTTTATTTTTTAATTCTGGAAAGAATTAATTTCGAGTATACTTACTGTTCATGTCCGCCACCGAACGCTTCCGTGTAGCAGACAAAAATTGCTGCTACCAAGGCCCACCTTATCTGAAACATAACAAAAAAAAAAAAGAAAATTATAGCATTTTTTCATAAAAACTCAATTGTCATCGATTTTCATTTTAACAGCCATGAACGGATTCCTGACTTCAAAATAAAAATTCTTCGAAGTCTGTCCAGTTCAGTCAGATCCAGTCAAGTCTTTATTGGTAGAGTTGTAAATGTCTTAGTTCTTCAATTTAGGTAAAGTGTTTTCTTAAGATCCTCCTAGGTCTATGTTCTATGTTCAAGATGCTGTCCAATTAACAATCCATAGAAGCTCGTCCTAGGAAGTTGTCTGTCAAGAAGTGAGATCGTCATAAAATAAAAAAGCTGAAACTAAACAAATCTGACAAAGTTAGAAATATTTTGTCACAGTCAAGAAACAAAGAAAAAAAAAAAAGTATTCTTCTTTTAACTTATGCATTATAATTTTACTTTTTAACCAGATAGTGGTACAGATTATTTAAATTTTATGTGATTGAATCATATATTTATTTTCTTAATCAAAAAATCGAAAACAAAACAAAACAATAAAGATGTCTAGAAATGTATTTATTTTCTTAATCAAAAAACCGAAAACAAAACAAAACAATAAAGATGTCTAGAAATGTATTTATTTGTAGTTATCGTGTTTCAGGACAGGCTACGATATGTAAATATCTTTACATCCTCCATTTATCGGCACTGATTAAAAACATTCAATTAAGAGAAAATAAATCGATTTTAAGAAATTCAAAGTATGTCTACACGGTATATAATACACTAGCATAGTTTCTTTTTTTGGATTCTTAAATTCCTTCAACAAATTCAATAAAAGGCATAGCAAAAATTGGGAGGTTTCAAAAATCAGATGTTTTCAAAGTCTACAAATTGAGACGGGATAAATTTTATTTAAAAAAATTCGATTCGGTCGTCAAGTTCAGATATAGTTTCCAGGGGGCTATCGGGCCCTGCAATTTTTAGCTTACAAATGTATCGTTTTCGAAATAAATAATAATTTTAGCCGAAGGCTTCCTAATTTTTTTGGTTGCCATGGGATACTTATCACATGTTCAGGTTTAAAAAATTAAATTATTGCTATTAACGATAGTCCTCAACGAGTTAAAAAGTCATTGTTAAGGTAAATAGGGAAGAATAACTCTATTATTCCTGGTAAACTTGGAAAAATATAGAAAGAAACATTTTGATAATTATAATATATAAAAAAATAGCGTGCTTTAGAACACATTATAAATTTTAAATAATAGCGGATTATAAAGAAGATGAAATGCTGAACATTTCTCTCGCTTACAGTATGCAAGTCCGATGTTTAATTTCTGAGATATTTTACTCCGTATCTTCAATAAAACTCGTTATAAATTGGTTTTCGACACCATTGTTTCCCTTTTTTGACTCTCTAATACGACTTTGCGTTAAGATACACAGAGAACATAAAATGCTAAACAATTCCCTCGCTTACAGTATGTAAGTCCGATTTTTAATTTCTGAGATATTTTAATCCATATGCAAAAATATTTCAAATAGTCGACTCCAGCTGATTTTTTCCGAGCGTTACACATCAGAGATCTGACACTCATTTTTATTTTTTTTTTCATCAGCACAACTGGTTTAAAAATATTTTAAAAAAAGTAATTTGAGATTAAATTATTTTTTATCGTGAAGGCTTCTTCTTGTTCGAATTTCTTTCAGTTTTATATATTGATAAAAATAGCTCTAAACACGCCTTTAAATTTCCATCTATATATTTTCCATTATACAATAACCATTATAAAATATTTAACTTTTACATTATTATATTATATTAATATTATCTCGTACGTCAATGAATGGGTAGAAGTATGAAGGAGTATTACTAAAATTATTCATTTAAATGTATACAGCTTTAAAATACTTTGTGTCAAAGTGGATGATACGAACTAACGATAATCATTAGTAATATCGATTGGATTATTAAAACTATCGATATATCGATAACATTATCGACTATCGCCCACCCATAAATTTTTTTATTCATAATAAGTGAGAGAAGTACAAACTAAGTCTCTTCTATTTTCAGTATTAAGGGAATTGTCACTTTAAAAGTGATGTGTTATTGTATATATTTTAAATGGGCTATCTTGATAATATTACATTGTGTATACGAATAAACATGTTTCGGTTAGGGAACGTAGTTATCTATTTATTAGAGCTTTTGAATAAAATTAAAAAGCAAATAATAAATAGTAAATGAACTACGATCGGTATAGAAATTGATTTGAACTTGGAAATCGATATGGATAGTCGAATTAATTAATCGAAAGTAGAATCGATTATGCAATACCATTTCCTCCCGGATGGTACGTTATCGAATAGTAAGTTCTGCTATCGTCGAAACGCATTACCGAAATCGAGAGAAAGCAGATTAGATAGGACATGAGCGCGCGATCTCTTTGGGCACCCCAACAGCGAGAGTGGACATAACTTTCTTCCTGCAGGGCAACCTTTCACCCATCCGGCGTCTTCTTGCATTTCCGCTATCCACTGCCACATTAATATCCCTCATAACCCGCCATTAGAAAGCTCTTATCCTTCGGAGGTCGGCGAACCACAGGTTTTGGTTTGCACCGTGGTTTATCACCATGCTGCAACTCAGGAAATTCAAAGTTTTATCTATTGATAAGAAAGATGCGGAAACAGATCTGGGCGTTTTCCTCTTTTAATCTTTAAAAAAGTATTTAAAAAAAAAAATTAATCTCTTGTTATGTTAAAGAAAGGTTAAATTTTACTTTACGAAACTGAGGATGGAAAATTGGTTTCATTAATTTATATATCATTCGAATCATTTTACATATATTATTTTAAAACCGTGTACTTTTTAATTAGAAAAAAATAATGTATATATCTAATACAATTTCTATAAATCGAACAAAAAGTCATTAAGAAAAACGACGGTAATTGTCTTTAAAAAAAAGGGTCCTTCATTATTTAACAAGAATCAGAAAGCAATAGAAATTCGTTGAAGTCCTTGTTTAAAGATGCGTACAAACCAAGCGAAACTTCGTTTGAATTGAATCTTATTTCAATATAGATACTCTCGAAGGGGGTTTTGTTCGAATGTCCGTCGATATTCAACAAATGTCTTGGCGAAAGAACGTTTTATTTGATTAATTTTAATGAAAATTAGCGTTTGCCAACGCATTCTTTGTGTTTCGATCTTTAAATCACGAAATCAAGCCTTGCGTGAAAAGAAAGCTATATTCGCTTTATTTACTTTCAACTGTTTATTTAATTATTTTTAATGAGGATTAGCCAACACATTCGTTAAAATTTGACCTGACGGTAGTTTTATTAATTAAGTAGATTAAAAGAAAATAAATATTTTTTTATTGGCCTCTCTCTCTCTCTCTCTCTCTCTCTCTCTCTATATATATATATATATATATATATATATATATATATATATACATAATGAACCTAGAAATTCATTTTCGATTAAATTAGGAAAGACCATTGATACTTAAATTTGTACGTATAATAGTCAATTATTTTTAAATTTAATCATTAAAATATAAATCTTTTTTCGTGCAGAATGCTTTGGTAATACGTGTAAATTGCTTAGTAAGGCGTTAGAGCAAGCGAATCCCGCAATACTAACGACTATTTTCTGTACAACTTTGTATTGATTTATTAATATAAATTATTTAGACTAATATTTGGGAATAAATTTTAAGTCATTTATAAATATCAGAAATAAACTCGGTGGTAATACATCACGATTTGAAAAAACAAAATTCCTGGTAAGTTCAAACATACCATTTCCCATATGATGATTTATACACCTACAGATTTACAATAGATCTTAAAGTAGATTAGACAAATATTTTCGACATATTAAATATTTATTTATTTTTTTAAAATTTTGTTTAATTATAAATACCTAACTTCTTTTTAACTATTTCTAATAATACAACTTAAAAAAAAAACTATATTTCATACGACACAAATTGATCAATCTTAAAAAAAAAATATTATATTTGCTATCCCTATGAGTTCGTATTACTTTAATTAATTTTAGACACAAAAAATAATTTATGCGTTGAAAGTTTAGAAAAAATATAATCACACACACATTTATGATACCATGTTTTAATACAGATATTCAAAAATTATTTCAATGAATAACTCCATTAAAATTTTATCGAAAAAGATTCTAATAAAAATGAATGAGAGATCTTAGAAATATTTGACAGCTACATAATGATTTTTTAAATGAATAACTATTTTCAGAGGCATGATTCTTTTTCTCTATTTTCTTTCTTAGATAGTTAGAAATCATAACTGTTGATAAGATGTACATAATAAATACTTTTAATATATTTATTTAATAATAACATCATTTTACAAATTAAATTAACTATTCAATTATAACGGCACGTTCTTGAACGATTATGAAGCTCCGAAACAGAAGATGAGTCGAATTAAAAAAAAAAATACGATCGTATGATGATTTGTACACCTACAGATTTACAATGGATCTTAAAGTAGATTAGACAAATATTTTCGACACATTAAATATTTATTTATTTTTTTAAATTTTGTTTAATTATAAATACCTAACTTTTTTACTAAAAAAGAATGAGCGATCATAGAAATATTTGACAGCTACACAGCGATTTTTTTTATGAATAATTACTGTTTTCAGACGCATGATTCTTTTTCTCTATTTTCTTTCTTAGATAGTTAGAAATCATAACTGTTGATAACATGTAAATAATAAATACTTTCAATATATTTTGAATTAACTATTCAATTATAACGGCACGTTCTTGAACGATGATTACACCTAAAACATTATGAAGCTCCGAAACAGAAGATGAGTCTAATTAAAAAAAAAAAAAAATACGATCGTATTGATATCCACAATAAAATGTTAGTCCGACCGCGCATCTCTGCGACACTTTCTCGTATCCTTGACATTTTTCCTCTCTTAAGAAAGCACAAGAGGAACCTTAGACTACGGAAGTAACCACGAAGACACAAACTAAAGACAGGTGGAGAACTCACCTGGATCTCGAAGAACATGGTTGGTAACTGACACGATGGTTGAACCCTACCGCCGGTTTATATAGCCAATCCCTCAACCCCTTCTCCACTCCCACCATACTCCGGCTCCTCCTGGTCGGAGGAAATGTACATCAGCCGGATTAGTATAATTGTCCGTGGTGTGAATGTCTGGTCACATCTGCGGTCATCGGGGTCATTGTTTATTGTCTCGTCTGCAAATTATTTTTCCCGATCTTGTAGGAAGTGGTGGAATATAAGTATTGCTAATAAACTTCATTGATAACTCTCGCATTGGATAGCTGGATCGTTCCAATATTATTTGATAATATTTTGTAATAATA